GTTACCTGCAGTTGTGAGAAATAATGCAGAGAAATGTTTGTACCCTTTACACGATTTCCCCAGATTGTTGTGCAATATCACAGCCAGGAGATTAACGGCGATACAGTCAGAGTATGCAGCAGCTCTGTCACTACAAGAATTCTCTCAGGTTGCCCTTTTGCAGCTATGCCCGTGTCCTTCCTCAGACTCCACCCATCCTTAACACCTGGCAACTGACAGTGATCTCTTCTCCATTTCTAGAATTCTGCCTGCCATATTGAGAATGTTACATAAATGGAATAATGCCATACGCTACCCTCTGGGGTTGGTGGTTTTCAATCCGCATCGTTTCCTGGAGGCTTATGAAGCTGTTGCCTGTGTCAACACTTTGTTCTTTTTTATTGCAGAGCAATATTCCACGGCATGGATGTACCACAGTTTGCTTGACCCTTCACCCATTGCAAGACAGATGAATCATTTCTAATTTTTGGCAGTTGTGAATAAAGTTTCTACAAACAGTTGTTTTATAGGCTTTTTTGTGAACACAGTTTACATGTCTCTGGGGTTAATACCCAGGTAGCAATTTCAGGGTCACGAAGTAGTTGTTTAGTTTTATGAGGTAGTGTTCAGTTATTTTGCAGAGTGCTTGTGTCATTTTTATATTCACACTAACAATGTCTAACTGACTCAGTCTCTGCTTCCTTGCCAGTATTTGGTATTGTGACTTTTAAATTTTGGTATTGTGATGGGTGAAACCTCATCTTGGTTTAAATTGTTATTCCCCCACTGGTTAGTGATATCGAATATCTTTTCATGTGCTTTCACTTCATGCATTTATCCTCTTCACTGAAATGTCTTCGGCAAAAGGTTAGGAATTTCTAATTGGATTTTTCCCCCCTCAACTTTTGAGTTTTGTGAATTCTTTTTATATTCTCAATACTAGTTTTTGGTCAGATACGTGGCTTGAAAAGTTTTCTCCTAGTTTGTAGCTTTAAAGACATTTCCTTAATAGTGCCTTTTGAAGGGAAAGGCACTAATTTTGATGCATTCCAACATTAAATTGCCCTCTTTTTGGATTATGATTTTGCGTTAAATCTAAGAGCTCTTTGTCTCACGTTGGTCCTGAAGATTTCTCTTGTTTTTTTTTTTTTTTTTCCTATAAGGTTTATAGTTGCACACTTACATTTGAGATCCATTTTTAAATAATTTTTGTTTGAAGTTTCAGGAGATTCAGGTCGAGGTCCCCCTCTCCTTTGTTCGTTGACCCACAGACATTCAGTGGATGAAGCACCCTTGGCTGAAGCCCTTTTCCACAGAATTGTTCTTGCATCTTTGTCAAAAATCAGTTGGGCATATCTGTGTGCATGTTTTTCTGGCTCTTACTCTGCTTTATTGACCTCGGTGTTGCTGTGTCTGGCAAGGCCACACCGTCCTGGTTTGTGTCTGTGTAATTGGCTTTGATACTGGATGGGGTCAGTCCTCCCAGTTTCGTCGTCTTCTTCTGCTTCAAGACTGTCAGCTGTTCTAACACCTGTGCCTTCCTCTATGTCTTTCAAGAATAAACATGTCTGTAGCGCTGTGTGCTCACGGACGTGAGGTACTAGAGTAGTTCCGATCTCAAGACAGGAAGCAGAATGGCTGCGCCAGCTTAGTGACAGAACGCACACGTCAGTACATAAATACAAGCGTCAGGGTGTGAAGGTAACAGAGGCTGGGAAATGGCGCTACTGTCCAGTGAGTATCGACTTTCCGTTTCGAGGGTGAAGAGTCGTGGGGCTGGGTAGCACGACGGTTGCAGAACGGTGTGCATATGTTAAAGCCACCAGCAGCTTACTGGCGGTTAAGGCGGGAGACGTAACCACACCTTGCACTGCACTTACTCCCCGGCCTGAGCTTTCTTTTTGCCCCCGACCCTCAGTGCCGCCTGCGTTCCCGCCACTCTTACGTCTCCATGAGGGTGGGTACTTGACTTCCGTGATCCCTCAGGCCTTCGTGGGTGTTGCCGCCAAGCCCCAAGACTCATACCTTCGTTCCGCATTTGTGCAGCCTGTGCTCCCAAGGGAGTTGCAAAATCTGTAGCTTTGACAGGCTTATTGCTTCAGCCGGAAAGCAGGATTTGCACACCTGCTGGCCCGAGTCCTGAGCGGTGGTTTTGCGAGTGTCGACTCTTGGTTGGCGGAGACCTGATGTCCTGCTTGATGTACTTTCTCCAGAACTTGCTTTTGCTTTGGCTGGGGAGACCCCTCTTTCTTCTCTTTGCCAGACTCCCTCTTGCCCAGTGACCCCATCGCCCCTCAGAGGGCGGCGTCTTCCCTTACTCCCAGCCCGTCTGGCCTTCTCTCGTGTTTCTTTCTCCGCGCTCCTCTGGCGAGCAGCTGGTGCGTGCGGTCTCGTTATCGCTTAGCCTCAGAGTAGTGATTTCGCTGTAGTGAGTGTTGTCTTTGGAACAGCACTGTTAGTTTAGTGAGGGCTTATGTACGTCTCCTACGCATATTTATATTACGTAATAACTATTAGTCGGATTAATGAAAGAATGATTGAGCTTATATCCTGTGGAGGTTGTGTTTGGAAGTTGTCTGTTCAATAAAATCCTTTTAGTAGGGTGCGGGTCGATCGGTTTTAATATTAATGAATCTCAACAAATGGACGGGGCTGTTTTTAAGTTACCTTCTTGCACAGACTATCCGTCTTTAGAAATTTGGTTGTGACTGCCTGTGTGAGCTCATGGCTGGCTCTGCACATAGTTATTAGAATGAGATCTGAGCTCTCAGCGCTGTGTTGTGATTTGTGCTGAATATTTATGGAAGAGCAGTCTCTCTACAAATATGTAAAAATATTGGTGAGTGAGGAATTGACTCCCTGCATGGCAGCAGCAAGCGGCCCGCCGTCACCTCCGTTCCCTCAGCGCTGTTCATACAACAAAGACATTGTTTTATTTTCTGGAACCAAGGGGTGGTTTTACGATTTGGCCAGCGCCACGAAGGACTTTCTTGCCCGGGTCAGTGTCAGCACCGCGACGCTGAGGCCGCAGAGCAGGCTGGTCCGCGTGGCTGCGTCTGCCGCTCCGTGGGTCACGCGCTTTCCTCTGCTCAGCCCACTTTGCTGTGACCGACGCCAGGATGTGGCGCCTCCTGGCTGCGAACTTGGAGAGCGGTGCCTGCTGCCGTGCCGGCCACTACCGTGGGCACGCCACCTCACGGGCATCCCCAGTTCGCTCGTGATCTGAACTTCAGTCACACGCTTCCCCTGCGTGACCGGAACCGGTCCACTACCTCGGCGCTCTCGTCTGTAGAGCCACGGAAGCAGTGACAGCGCCCGGAAAAATGGGCGACTGCCGCCAGCGGCTGCCTCTGGCTCAGGGGAGAAGGGCTGCCGGCGTCGGCCGCTCGGGCGGGTTGGCAGGTGCGTCCAGCTTACTGCGGTATGGCCACCCCCGCTCTGGAAATGTGGCTGTGGCCGGGGGCCGTGCCCCGATTTCCCCCTGGCCGGCCCCCCGCGCAGGGTTGGCGGCCGGGTTCAGCGAGGGGCAGCCAGGACGGTTTTCACAAAAGCCCACGTGCCTTTCCCGGCCGGTGGTGCGGGCTCAGCCGACTCTGGGTGCCCACGGGGGTGCGTTTCCTGTGCGCCCCGCCAGTCTCCCCGTTGAGCTGCTCTGTGGTCCTCGGGTGCAGCCCTGGAGGACAGGTGCCCCCCAGCAGACACAGGAACAGCAGTTGGAACAGAGGAAGGCGCACGTGGGCGGCAGGGGGCGCCCAGGAAGGAAGGGGGGAAAGGCCTTGCCGAGTGGGGAGTGGGGCCCGGGTGAGGGGGATGCCCACCTTTTTCAACAGCCTGGCTGTAAGGAAAGGAAATAGCGCGCTAGCCCCCCCAAGACGGCTGCTCTTCAAGGGGGCAGCCGCCCAAAGCACTAGCATTTGGAAGGGAGACGACAGAGGGTATGCAGAGAACGGCCCGGCCCTGTGTGGTCACTTCGCTGGGGCTCCCCAGCCACCTTCTTGACGCCTGTGCCCCTTTGAGTTCCTGACCCCCTTCAGGCTTCTGACTACCAGTCTGGCACCGGCGGGCAGCCTGCCTGGGCACTCTGCAGCCTCAGCGCCAGCAGGGCCGGGTCTGGGCCTCTGACGGCGCTGGGGGCGCGGCGCCCAGCCTCTGCCGCTCGCTGACTGCCTCACTTCCGTCTCGACCCGTGCAGGGCCGGCGTGAGCCCAGGTGGGCTTGTGTCCAGCAGCAGCGTAGGAAATCAAACACCGAAACAGTAGCTCGCCTGAGAGCTGGTTCAGAAGGCCAGTGTGGGAAGGTTTCTTGGCTGTTTCCCAGTAGGTATTTTGGCCCCGTTTTTGCGGGGAGTGGGGTGGGGGCAGAGGAGGAGTTGAACCTGTTTCCAGAATCCCTTTCCGTCCCTTCCTCCTCCTCCCCCACCCCTCTGGCGCCTCCCTGCCTCCCCCCTTCCCCCTTTCCCTCCCTGCTGGGGGCCATTGGGGTGGCTTTGTGCAGCACATGCGCCCCCACAAGCCCGGTACCCCGGGTGCTGGAGCTGGGAGGGTGCCGGCACCCAGGTCCCGGAGCCCCCTGGCGTCTGTCCCTGTCTGGCTGGCTGTAGGCGGCCTCGCCAACGACCCCATCCGAGCCAGTCGGGTCGCCCAGCTCGTGGAGCTTACAGGTGGAGGTGGGGGAGGGGGAGCCAGGCCCGGCAGCGCACCCGGCCTTTGGGGCGCTTCAAGACCACCTGGCGCTGTCCTGCCAGCACAGCCCGTGAGGGACGCAGCGTCCAGACTCACGGCCGGCGTCCACTGGGACCCAGCTTGCTGGCCTCCGTGGGGCACGCATGCTTCTGGTCCCAGTGTGGGCTCTCGCCCGGCCCGCTGGACGGCCCCTCTGCGGCATCAGGGCTGCTCCTGCCCGACTGTCGTTTCTCGTTTCTTACGTTGGCAGCTACAGGTGCCTGGGCCTGGTAGGCGCTCAGCAGAAATGACTTCAGGAGTCATGTCTGTTCTTACGGCGTTTGTGGCGTAGTCAGGAAGACAGAAACGCCAGAGATGCAGATGGGAGCGCAAGACGAGGCGGTGACAAAGGCGGCACTGACCAAGAATTTGGAAGTGCTCACCTGTGTCCATGCGCTTGTCGCGTGCTTCGCATTGGAATTATGTTCCTACCCAACCCACCATTCAGGTATATTGTTTCCCATGTAGAAACCCAAAAGGTACCGGCCATAACCCCAGGCGGCTCTAAGGAGACCAAAGATTACGAATTTCATTTTAGCGCCAACAAATGCTAGTCTAGGTTCCAGAAGTTATTTTGAATTTGGTAAGTCTAAAACGCAGGTTAGTTTTTGTTTCCTGGCTAATTACGCTGATGGGGAGACATTTTCTGGAAGGTATTAGGATAAAATATTGTTTTTTAGATATGTGACACATTTTCTGGTATTTTAAAAAATCTCTTGGGCATCTGAAGGGGAATTTAATCCACCTGATTTTGATCTAAATATAATTTATCACAACAGTGGAGAGATGTTTGATATCTAGAGAAATCTATTGATGCTCTTAAAGCTTTTCTCTTGGGAAATAAGAAATCACGTATTTCCGAGAGTAAATTACAGACCTACGTCTAATTTTTCATTTCATTTAACGAAGTCTGAATTAAGCATCAAATTGGGCAGTTCTGGATCAATTGTTTCTAACCCCTTGCGTCTTTCTTTTAAAGCACGCACAGGCGGTTCTCTCTGGGGAGACCCCCCCCCCGCCTCCTCCTCCCCTCGTCCCTACCTTGTCTTGTCTATGCCCCTGTTTCTTTCAGTGGCTTTAGCAGATCTGAGGTAATGAAACAGTGTGATGGCAGCGATAATGGTGTCTGTATTCAGACGTCTCAGACCTGTCAGAGGCTAGGAAGTGGCATTTGGAATTATTTCCTAGTTTTCATTTAAAAGCACTTTCTGAGATTCAGATACCACCCTAAGAGAAAGTTTTGAGTTTAAAAGAGGAGGGTTGGGTTGAGGTGTGGCCACATTTTTGCAGCTTGACAAGCCTGAAATCCCTTTACAAATAGAGGTGGTGTCCTGACATCACTGGGGGAGGACGTGTGAGTGTGGGCAGGGCCCGGCAGGCGGGGGTCCCTCCTGCTGCTCCCTCACACCCGACTGGCCCAGGCTCACCCCTCTGGGAGCCGCGCCCAGCCCTCCCCTTGGCAGTGGGGTCGCGCCCTGCCCTCTCCCCAGGCCTGCTGGCCCGCACGGCCCCTGCCCCTCTCGCTCCACAGCCCTCTGCTGCCCTCTGCTGCCCACAGCAAATGGCAAGCAACCACACAGGCCTGGCAGGCTGTGGCCGGGGCCTGGCGAAGGCACCGTCTCCTCGGTTCAAATCTCAGCCAGGTGGTCTCCCGCGTGTCACGTCACACGAGAGCCAGCCTGTTTCTGCGCAGCCGCTGACAGACTGACCTACTGGGTTTGGGTCCGGCGCTGCCAGTGATGAACTGGATGACCTTGGAGACTTGGGTGACCTTGGGAAGTCTGTTCAGCTCTCCGTGCCTGAGTTTCCTGGCCTGAAAGATGGGTTGATACTGCCCCATGAAGTAGGTATCACGGCGATGATTAAGTAAGTAAAGCAAGGTGTTTCGACTGCCTGGCACATAGGTACGTGCTGGGTAAATATTAGTAGCTGTACTCAGCCCCGTGGAGGGTTTGCTTCAGGCCAGCGGTTCCCAAAACGTGGAGCTCCTGGCACAAGACCGTGATGTCAGATGCTTCAGGATAAGGGGGGAAAATAACGAGCTTCTTCCTGTGAGTAGGGAGGCGAAGCAGCAGCTGGTGCTGCGTGACCCCCACACTGCCGTGCTCTCCTCCACGGCCGGCGCGGCTCGGGGCCAAGACAGGCCTTGGCAGTTTAGTGACATCCACTTCGGCAAAGAAAGCTGCTGGTTTTCACGTTATCATTGCTATGTAAAGTTTTCTTTAAAAATTAATCTTGGCTGGAAAGAAGTGAGCTTAAAGGGTGTTCAGTACACAGCAAACCGACTCTAAGTGCAAGCACGGCAAAGCGCATGAGCGCGGTCAGACGCCCGATGTTTGGGGAAAGCCCCGGGACCCTTTGGGCACCTTTGGGGTCGGGGGTAGCACCCGGGCCCTCTGCTTTCCTCCTGGTGAGGGTCGCTGACCCTCCGAACTTTCCCGCCTCTGGTCTTACCCCTGGGGTGCCCCGGGTGGGCCCTGCTTCGGTCCAGGCCCGGCGAGGCCCTCCCGGGCCCCGACTGTGACAAGGTGCCGGCTGCCCCGCCTCCTCGGCACTCCGCTTTGCAGTTTCGCCGGCTGTTTCCGAGCACGTGTCCGGCTTCTGCCACTGGAAGCCCCTTGGGTGGGCTCAGTCATTGCAGCGTCGCTCGCTTTTAGGGCCCGGCGCCCAGGGCCCGCGCAGTGGCTGCCCGCAGTGAGTACTGCTGACGGCTTCAGTTGCTGCGTGTCTGCACTGAGATACCATTTCTGTGCCATTGAATTCATCTGTTGTGACTGGTAAGTGTTAAATGTAAAGGTTAACAACCACTTGATTTTTAAAAAAGATTTATTTATGCACACGGAACTGGGGTACAGGCCAGAGGTGCAGGGGCGGTGAGAGGACTCCCCAGAGACAGAGCGGGGAGCAGAACAGGCAGATGACGAAGTCCACTGCTGAGGGGAGCAGCGGGCGGGTCCGCAGAGGTCTGCCGCGCCCTGTGGGTCCTCTCAGGGCGGGGATCAAACTCGCACTGAGGCGGCCACAGCTCGGCTGAGCTCCGCAGTGCAGCGCTCCAGCCCGCTGCGCCCCCAGGGAGGGCCCCCTGGGTGTGTCTTAAATGAGTTCACGCAGCGTGGAAGCTGCGCACCCCCAGGCTTCAGCACTGCCTTTACCTCGGAGCTCTCTGCTGCCTGGACCCTCACCCCAGCCCAGCCCTCCAGCGCCAGCCTCTGCTTTGTGCTGCTGGGGTGTCAGCTCACTGCGTCTCAGAGGCGCCTACGATCGTCATCGCTGCCTTGAGGCTTCTCTCACGCGGCGGCTCTGAGCTCACCCTCTGTTGCCCGTGCCAGTCATGCGTGCCAGTCACATGTGCCAGTAATGTGCACCAGTCGTGTGTGCCCTCTGCAGGTGTGTGCCAGTCACGTGTGCCAGTCACGTGTGCCCTCTGCTGCACAGGGCGGTAGGTAGCCCGTCGCTGGCTTCTCAGCGCCCCACGCGCTGGTCTCTGATTGCATCCAGCGTTGGCCTTGAGGAGATGCTGCTGCAGGGCTCAGGCGGGCGCCTCAGTGTGTGCCAGTGTTGGTGCCGCGTGGAGGGGAAGCGGGAGCCCCCGTTCCTGGGCTGAGTGCCGGTGGGACTTTGTGAGCCCTGCCAGGCGGGCACCATTTCCCGCCCCACAAAACATCTGAGGCCCCCGGCTTCCAGTGTCTCCACCACTTGGTGTCACCTCCCTCCTCGCAGCGTTTCCAGGGGTGACGCCGGGTGAATCAAGGGTGATGCTGTGGTTGGCCGACAGCTGGAAGCGCAGCGGAGGCTGAGGGGGATGAGTCTTGGGAAGAGCCAGGAGCTCCGGCTTGGCCGGGCTGCGCCTCGGTGCGTTTCACCACAGCACGGGCTGCTCCGTGGGGCACGAGGCTGCCCGCGTCGCTCCTTCTCCTGAGCTCCATGGCCCGAAGTGGCTGTGTCACTTTCCTGTGCTCGAGACCCAGGGCTGGTGGTCCGGCCACGGCACGTGGCTTCTTTCTGTTTCCTCTTCTGGAGCGTTCGTAATGCCGTCTCCCTGCGAGGTCGGTGCGGAGTGGGTGATTCGGGGCGAGGGCGTGCTCGTTACCTGTCACTCACGCAGGACGACACCCGTCGTGACTTCACGTTTGTGTCCACTGTGGCTTCTGCCCCTGCGCTGTTTGGAATCAGGTGCGGGGCTAACACTGGCGTGATAAGCCAACACGTGTAGGCGATGCCTGTGACGGTGAGATGGAGAGGAGAAAGGAGGCGCGGAGGGGCCAGAGGGGGGCGTCACGCGGTGCGCCTTTGGCAGGCTGGCGCTGCGCCCCACAGAACGTGCAAGAGCAGGACTTCGGGAGGCCTCCGAGGAGTCGCATGCCCGTTGCAGTGTTCTGGAAGTGGCTTCTAGAGGGCTGGTGGTTTCTGACTTGCCCCTGGGGCTCTCCCAGACGGAGCTTCCCGCAGCAGCCGAGTGGGACTGCGTTTGCCCGGACTGCAGCCCTGCTCGGCTGCGCCGGCCCCTTTACTCCCACACCAGCGACTGTCTGTGGCTGCAAGAGGCCGGCGGGGTCCGGGCAGGGCTGTGACGCCACGGGCTGAGGTAGTCGGCGCTCTGCGTGTCCCCCGTGTCCCCCTCCCGCCCGGCCGGGCGGGGCTTGAGCGCTGCAGGCTCGCACTTTTTTGAGTAAATTAATTACTTATGTTTAAAATTCCTCTGGCGGCTCTTACCAATGTAATTGTTTTCTTAGTTTTCTTTTCAGACTTTTATTGCTGGCATAGGCAAACGCAGACGATTTTTTGCGTGTGGCTTTGTATCTGCACTTGCTTCTCGGTTCTGGCCGTCTCCGTGTGTGCGTGAACTCCTCAGGGCGCCTGTATTCGAGGTGGCGTCGAGCACAGCTAGCGGCGTCTTCATGGCCCCTTGCAGTGTGGGCGGCCGCTCTCGCTCTCTCTCTCGTGTGATGCCGCCCGGCCCCTCGTTGCCAGGGGCGGAGAGAGCAGACCCTCGCGGCGTTTCTCACCGGAGCGGGAAGCGGCCAAGTATGATGTTTGCTGCTGCTTTCCATAGGTGGCTTCTCGCAGGTTGAGAAGTTCCTCTTCTCACCCTAGTTTGGTGTTTTTTACTCGTTAATAATACAAGGATAGGATCGGGTTTTTGTCAAGGGCTTTATTAAGACGCCCAGTGAGGTGTGTACTGCCTTGTGTTAATAGGGCTGCTCCAGCAATGACTTTGCGGTAGTGAACCATCCTTGCATTCCTGGGGCTTTGATCATGTTGCTAGATTGAGTTTGTAGTATTTTGTTCAGAATTTTTGCATCTAGGTTTATGAGTGATATTGGTTCATAATTTTTTCACAGTGTCTTTGTCTGATTTTCTTTTCGCTGGTTCATTTATCTCAACTATTATTTTTTCATTGTTTCTTTAGGGAGTGTTATTTCATTTCCATGTATTTGTGATTTTCAC